GGAAAGACCTTGAGTCTGTTATGGAAATAGCTTTTCGTGTCAGTTTTTTTCCATGTAAAATGAGACAAGATCACCTCCATATCTGCTAGTAGTTGTGAAAAATACACCTTAGGGCAGTGGTCGGCAAACTACGGCTCTTTGGCCCCTTGAGTGTGGCTCTTCCACAAAATACCGACTTCTGCACATGGGCTACGAAGTTTCAGTCGCACTGTCCGTGCGCTCCCGCACGTGGTATTTTGTGGAAGGGCCACACTCAAGGGGCCAAAGAGCCGCATGTGGCTTGAGAGCTGCAGTTCGCCAACCACTGCCTTAGGGGATTCAGATAGGAAGGGTCATCTAGATTTTGGAAGATGCTTGGCTCATTCCCGACCTAAGTCAGGGACTCCCTTCAATCACACTAAGGATGAAATACTCCAAAGGCTCTGCTTGGAGGAAAGGAGGTCAGAACGATGGCTACAGCTTCCTGAGTCAGGGCTAACCCTTGCAAAGGCCCTGCATGGAAGGGCCTACTCATCTGGCAGATGAGGACACTGAGGCTCAATGTCAGTAATTAGGTGGCAAAACCATGGCAAGAAGCTTTGCCTGACTCAAAGCCTTTTCATTTATACTAAGCTGCCTTTCTCTCCAGGGAAAAGTAAAACGCAAAGCAAAACCCAACAAGAAGAGTATCCTATAGGCTCCTTCAGCACTTTCAGTATTTGGTTTCTAAGAATCTATGTGCTAGGAGAGATTTCTCCTTGCACCTCATGAAATCCTCCATGTTATGATTTATGCCCCCTTTCTCTTCTGGACACCAGAACACAAAACCAGTATATAAACCCAAGTTTGGAAAAATAAAGCCATTGCCCATCCCCGCATGAACCCTGAAGCCCTTTCTTCTCCAGGCTGGACAAACCCCAGCCTTTTCTCCTGGCCGTAGCCCAGGTGTGGGAACCAGACCTCAGGAGGGGCGGGAGAGTGAACACATGGCCAAAGGGGCCAGGACGCCAAGGCCAGCCTGAGGGCAGCGATAAGGATGTAAACAAGGAGACTGGCACAGACAGGCAGGGAAAGATTAGCCCAGCTGGCAGTGGCCAGTGGAAAAATGGGTAGCAGTTCAGTGATGTCAAACATGCCAGGCGAGAAGGTGGTGAGAAATGAGTCCTGTCTTTGAGCTCTGAGAACGCCCAGGAGCAAACAAGAGGGAGAATGAGAAAGAAAGAGAGAGAGTGAGAATATAGTGGTTGAGGCATGAACTTTGGTTACCCAGTATGTGATGGGGGCCTATGATGTGCAGGCTTTGAGATCATTATGAAATAATTTAGGTAAAACTCACAGGATAGTATCTTGCACATAACCAGCTCTCAAAAAGTAGTAGTCAATCTCATAGAAGAATTGCAGGAAGAATGATAGATTTAGAACGTCACCATTTTCAATCTCAAATGAAATATGTTCATGAATAAAACCTCAAATCATTAGGTGAAATGCTGATGGGGAGGCTTATAATGGATGGAGAAGGCTGACAACACCTGAATCTGAAACAATTTTAACGCAAAATGAGAGGCGTTCTTTTACAATAAATGAAGGTATTTGGACCCCCTACCTCATGACATATGCAAAAATTAATTCCAACTGCATCATACAACTAAATATGTTAGAACTATAAAACTCTTACATGGAAAACACAAGCAACAAAGGAAAGAGTAGGTAAAGTGGACATCATCATAGTTAAAACATGTTGGGCTTCAAAGGATACCACCAAGGAAGTGAAAAGGCGATCCACAGACTGAGAAAATTTTCACATTATTTACCAGATTAGTGACTTGCAGCTAGAATATATAAAGAACACTTAGGACTCAAGAAGAAGAAGGTGCCCAACTAAGAAATGGGCAAAGGATATTAATAGACAGTTCTCCAAAGAACACATGTGCAATAAACACAGGAATAGCTCCTCAACGTCACTGCCATCAAGGAAATGAAAATCAAAACCACATGGATACCACTTCATACCCACTAGGATGCCTATAATAGAAAGGACAGGTAGTAAATGTTGGTGAAGATGTGGAGAAACTAGAACCCTCACACACTGTTGATAGGAGTGCAACATGGTGCAATCACGTTGGAAACTAGTTGGCAGTTCCTGAAACAGTTAACTATAGAGTTACCATATGATCTAATAATTCCACTTCTCGGTATAAATTTATTTCTGTAAATTACCTTAGAAGGAGGATTAGCTAAACCATCTTAGCCATAAATTAGACTGAGAGTGTGTTCAAGGGGAAAAATTATCTTAATACTAAGTAGAAACCACCTCTCATGGCGCTCCTGAGTACTGTAAAGTTGGGTTGGGAGATTCCTCTGAAAGATGAAGACAAAGGGATACCCTGGGACAGGATCTGGACTTAATGGTTCAGGTTCCTTGAACTCGAATAAAGTGAATAAAGAAATCACTTTATTCAGAATATTTCAAATATAGGATCGAAAGGAGTCAGCTTTATAGACCCCAGAATTCCCCAACGTGCATGCCAGCTCATCCTCCCAGGAGCCCAGGGGAGATGCTGGGACTTGTCATTAGCATCCTGGAATGGGATGGAGGAGGGGCAGGGAATTGCATTCCTTACACTGACTTCTGCAACCTGCCTTTTCCTCTCTGTCTTAGCTCTTGTTTTCTGGATAATTATGAGAGGGGGAAGGGATTGGTAATTGTTTAAGTAAGTCATAGGCTGCTGCTTTGTTTTTTGATTCTTGAGGCAAAATATGTTATTGGAAACCTTTACTGGGGCGTTGGAAAGTCAACAGCAACGTAAATGAATAAAACATCATCCTTGCCCTTAAGTTTTCAATTTAGTGAGCAAGGTGGTAAGATTATACACGGTATTTATAGTACAAGGAACAAGAGTGTGAGCCATGCACTGTGACCACAGGGGAGCGAGATTAATTCTGCAGGGGAGGGGAAGGCAGAGTTGCCGTGAAGAAATGGTGGGCATACAGGGCTTTGGGGCATGCAGAGGATTGTGACAGGCAAATGCATCAAAAATAAATTCCTGGAGGAACAGCAAATATTTATTCCACAAACATTTGTTCATGATAACACCTGGGCAAAAATGTAGAAATAATTATAATCCACAGCCTTCTGAATCGAACCTCCCTGCCCCCCGCCCCGCCACTATTAATACCGTGCAGTGGTTCCCTGGGAATAGTATATGCATATGCCACACTTTGGAATTCTCACTGTTTGTGAAAACTAGGAAGAAATACTTGTTTTGAATTCCATTAGGATTCTCCACTCCTGTCCAGCCTCTCTGTAGATGAGGTAAATGAGCAGGAAGAAGAATTGAAATGACACATGGAAAGTGATTTGGCTAAATCAGCCGTGGGCAAACTACGGCCCTCAGGCCGGATCCAGCCCGTTTGAAATGAATAAAACTAAAAAAAAAAGACTGTACCCTTTTATGTAATGATGTTTACTTTGAATTTAGCTTAATCCACTGAATGTGGGCTGTGCTTTATATATCTGTCTATATATAAAGAATAGTTTCAGAAAAATTTGTCACTCTTTGGCTTAATTGTGAGTCAATAGGCCCCCATTTGTGTGTGTGTGTGTGCGTGCCTGTGTGTGTGTGTGTGTGTGTGTGTGTGTGTATTGGAGGGAGAAGAACTTTGGGCACAAAGTGTGTACGTACTTGTAACAACATGTGTGGAATGTGTGTGTAGAATGGGAGCCTTATAAGTGTGATTTTTTAAGTTGGAGGAGAGTGTATATGGAGAGAAGTGTGTGTGTGTGTGTGTGCGCGCGCGTGCGGCAGGTGGTGGACAAAGGTACAGGGACAGCCAGCCTCTTGGCAATCCAGACAGTGGTGTAAAATGTGAAGTGTTATAAAAGGTGATTGTTTTCCTTTTAGACCAGTACACAGGTCTTTCAGGAGTCCTTGACTTTCTCCTCCTCCCTGTCTTGTTAAAAAGGGATTAGAGTCCAATTAAGCCATTTAATCCCAAGGTAGAGATTCATGTTTAAAAACAAGATTTACAGCTTTAAAAAAATGCATCATGCAAGTTGAGGTTTGTCCTCTCAAGTTGCCACCTGCATGGTTCCAAAGAGTGTTTTCAGCAGAATAGCCAACATGCAGTTCTTAATTACGTTGCCTCATACCTCCAGTCCTTCATGTGCTAAAGTACCCTTCAGCCTGAAGAGCCACATGCTGTTAGAGGTACTTCTGCTCTGGAGTGCCACAGTCGCCCTGGTTTCTTTCCCTTCAGCTGGCAACCCAGTGACCAGGCTTATTAAGAACAGTATTAAGAGCCAATGCTTATTGGGTGCTTAGTATGTGCCCGGCATTGTGCTAAGCACTTTACATACAGTATCGCATTAGATGCTCCATATGAAAACACCCAGGCCTGTCTTCAGGGGTGTGGAACATGTGTAGTCACACAAGGCTCAGTGCTCAGAAGAGCCCTCCACTTGTTTCATACTCTGCTGTTGCCATCTTGAAATTCTTAATCACTTCTGAGTAAGGGAGCTGCATTAGCATTTTTCACTGGGCCCTGCAAGTTATGTAGCCAGCCCTCCAAACACCCAGTAACTCGTAAATTCTTTTTCTTCTTTTCCACATGATGCCCAGTACCTTGCTGGAGGATGGACCAGTAAATTTCAAATTGTGACGCCAGGACCCCCTCTGAAAAATGGGTGCCATTATCTCCTTGAAGGGAAGTTCTCTAGGGGAAAGGGACCATGTCAAGGCTCTTAGCATGGGAAAGCAAAGCATCTGTGAGAATTTGACAAATCGTTAAACTCCTCTAAGCCTCAGTCTTCTCACCTGTAAAGTGGGGATAGCACTAATCATGCCTAATTCACAGGCTGTTTCAAGGACAAGATGAGATCACAACTCTGACACACAATACACTCGTTATTATTACGAATTATGAGTGCTTAGCAGGTACTAAACATCCAGTTTTGCTTGTGACATGGTGTGGATCACTTGACCAACTCCAAGGTGCCCTTATCCCGAGGGTCTGTTTCCTACCTGTCCCAAAGAACTGGGAAGAACATCTGCTTTCTCCACGTGCTGGCTGATCACAGAGGGGTTGCTAGAGCTGATAAGCACTGGGGTGCTGATCTCCACCATATGGCGCCCCGAGGGAGAATGGACCATCCTGTTGAGGGTATTCAAGGCTGTCGTGATGGAGAGCTGCCCGGGCCCCTTCCTCCTGGACCCAGGGCCCCTTCGGAGGCTGGGCGTGTTGGTGGCTTTGCCTCTGGAGGAGGACACCAGGGACAGGCTTTTTGTGCGGGACGGGTGGCGGCCTTTGTTCTTCTCTAGCAGGTGTCTCGCGGTGAGGTTTGGCTGAGAAGACAAAAGGTTTGGTGAGAAGTTAGTCTTCCTGGTCTAATATGACCGACTAAGTCTTACCCAGGCGAGTCTGAAGCCAGTTCAGATGCCACCACCTCACTCGCCATTCCTGATTTGTAGAGTCTACCAATTTCTGTGGCGTAAATATCTACCAATGGTTCAACAACTGGCTAGCAAAATTCCTGAAAATATAGCAACCAGCTCTTGCAGTCTAGTACCAACTAGTTCTAGCACAACCACTGACTGCATTATATTTTGAATACCCTGCCCACCAAGGGCCCACATGAATTCATTTCCTCCAGAAACCTGAAATACGCTGACAAAACGGGGGTCTGTGTGAATAAAACTTTCCAGAACAAGTACTTAAACATGCGTCATTATGACTGTCACCAGTTGCCCTCTGAAACTACATCTGGTCCGTCTCATTATAATTTAGAAATTCAACTATGGAGTAAAAGGGAATATGCCCACGTAAGAACTTTTCAGTGACAATGTGCAGGTGATTAAAATAATCAAGAGAGAAAAGTTTAAAGCAGATGTAGTTTATGTCTCAAGAAGCTTGTAATATTGTGAAAAAAATAATCAAGTAGGGGAGGAAGCATTATGTTGTCCACTTTAAAGATAAGAAAGCTGAGGCCCAGAAGGGGTGACTTATAAATGGCAAAGCCAGCATGAAACAAGCAAATGAGAAAATGTCTGATAGTAATAATGTTCTGCTGTGATAGTGACTGGGGGAGGTGGCTCCTTTAGATTGGGGGATCCAGGAAAACCTGCTGAGAAGGGGACATTTAAGCTGAGACACAGATGGCAAGAAGGAACCAGCCACGTGAAGACTGGGTAAGAACAGGCCAGGCGGAGGGATTATAAATTAGTGGAAAGGTCTTGAAAGGTGGCAGGGGAGTGGGGGAGGGAGGAGGAAGAGGGAGGTGTGGTGGGAGGGTAGTGGCAAGCTCAGCCTGTTTGAGAATAAGACAAGGAAGAAAGAGAGAGGGCTGGAACAGAGCAAGTGAGAAGCAGGTGGTGGAGGAAACCACAGAGACAGGCAGGGGCTGGATCTCAAAGGGCCTGGGAAGCTTCATGTTTGTTTTAAGTGTAAGGACGCCTTTGAAATAATTTAGGTAAAGGAGTGACATGATCTGATTTATGCTTTTGGAAGTTCCTGCTATACTTTGAGAGTTTCTTACAAAGTTAAACACATACTTAGCATCCAACCCAGCAATCCCACTCCTAGATAATTACCGGAGAGAAATGAAAACTTATGCTCACTCTAAAAATGATATGCAAATGTTTATAGCAGCTTTAATCACAGTTGCCAACAAAGCAAGGGAAACAACTACAATGTCTTTCAACTGGTGGATGAATAAACAAACTCTGGCACATCCGTACAATGGAATATGATTCAATAATGAAAAGGGATGAACTACTTGCTACATGCAACACCATGGATGAATCTCAAATGCATTGTGCTAAGTGAAAGAAGCCAGACTCAAAAGGCCACATTCTGTTTGATTCCATTTCTATGACATTCTGGAAAAGGAAAACTATAGGAACAGAAAACAGATCAGTGTTTGCCAGGGGGTGGGAATCAGGGAAGGAGCTGACTACAAAGGGGCAGCATCACCTCGTATTTTGGGGAGCGTTGGAACTACTCTACATCTTGATGATGGTGTGGTTATTCTGAATACATTTACCTAAACATGTAGAATTGGACACCAAAAAGAGTAAATTTTATTGTACGTAAATAAAAATAAATACATAAAAAGGTATTATTCCAGACCAGAAGGAGGGAGACCATTTAGGAATTTACTGAAACTGTTTAGGCAAGTTCTGACAGCCTTCTGGATTAGGGACAATGCCCTTCCAGTCCCCAGAGCACCTATCCCTCCATTGTTCATCCAGAAAGAGGACAATATACACTCTTTGAGTTGAATGAGTAAACTTCTTCAGGGTCATTCACAGCTACAATGCAGTTAATGTTTTTCTGCTTCCACCTAATTGTTCTTTCTCCAGGTGAGCAACACCATCAGCGACACTGAGAAAGGGCCTCTGTGACTCTTGGTTTGCCTTGTTCTCTGCCATTGTGACTAATGGCTCAGTTGGGGAAGGATTGCACATCTCTTAAGTTTGCATCCACTCATTTGAAACAACATCCTTGAGGTTCATTGAGCTGAGCAAGATTCACATAACCCAGGCAGGCCCTGTTGGAGAAGTTCTGACAAGAATGGGTGTGAGCTCAGAGTTTGTTTTGCCACCTTTTTATCCAGGTGCAATTCAATAAATCCAATGCTACATTAACAAGAAAAATCCTGTTTATGCAAAAAACAAGAACAAGACACACACACCCCGTATCACTCTCATAAGAAAGCTTTCCTTCCTTCCAACTGTTTTGCATGGCACTGGAAATGCAGAACTTATTTAAAGAGTCCTCAGCAAGTGCTAGTCTTAATGAAACGACGGAAGTCAGAATCTAAGGGCTGCTTTAGAAAGCTCAATGTAGGTTTCAAGCCATTTTTGAAAACCAGGTTCCCAGAGTAGAGCAGCCACTTGATTATCTTATTCCCCTCCTAGCAATTAGGAGAACAAAGGAAGCAATGGCTAGCTTGATGACAATCTTGAGGATTCTTATAATCACCAATTTCAGAGCTGAAGTGGTGGGGAGAGTATCCAAATGAATAATCATTAAATGTAGAAGTTTTTTGGGGGGCGGGGGAAGGGTATCAGAAGTGGGTAATATCTGATCATTGGTGCCTCTCCCACATGCCCCAGCTATGAAGAAGCTTCTTGAGATAATGCAGGGGACGATGTGAGCTCTCATCTGCAAAAATTTCAGCCTGCCTGTGTGTACAGCTAGACGTTAGTTGTAGCTCATCTCTGTCCTTAGAATCTCAACCACTGTCTTCCAATCAACATAATTGTTCCTCTTTAGCAAATGCTGCTTGACCAAGCAAATGGCTCCACCACCAACCTAGGCACACAAATCAGAAAGGGGGCATGATCCTTAACCACTTCCTCTTCCTACTCCCTACATTGTAAAATGAGTGAAATTTGAACAAGTAGAGAGAATTGGATGGGGTGGGTGTACCTGGTAGGGGCCTCAGCAGGAGAAAAAGCACTGGGAATGAGAATTTATTAGAGATAGAAGACCAGCCTCTCTGGACCCTTCTTCCATCCCTCCTTTCCACTTTTCATCCCTTCCACACTGATACAGTACACGGGGTACAGAGAACCCTGAGACCTGTGCAGTATTCTGGACACTCCATTTACTTCACAACCCGCTTTAACTCTTATGAATGAAAGAATTGGTTCCTTCTCTCCAGTTATGCCTCTGTACTGTCTTTACCCCACTCTCCTAGAGGTCAGGGAGCATGCCTTTTACTTCTTTCATAGCTCCCCACTACTGACTTTTATTGCTTTATTTTATTTTATTATTTTATTGTATTTTTGGTTAATCCTCACCCGAGGATCTTTTTTTCCATTGATCATTTAGACAGAGCAGAAGAGAGAAGGGAGGAAGGGGAGGGGGGAAGAGAGAGAGAGAGAGAGAGAGAGAGAGAGAGAGAGAAACATTGATGTGAGAGAGACACATCAATTGGTTGCCTCCCACACTCACCCCGATTGGGGCCAGGGATCAAACCTGCAACCCTTCGGTACAAGGGCCGACATTCTAACCACTAAGCAATACCGGCCAGGGCACTTTTACTGCTTTATGCCTGGGAAGCACTAATAAATGCAGTTAATTACTGAATCTTCTCCTTTAAATTTGCAATGACCTGCTTCAAGCTCAGGTGAGGCTGAAGGTTACAGAGGTTAGAGACTCCAAGTTATATTAGGTAAATATCCTAGCATGTGTTCTTTCCTCTTTAAAAAAACAAAGAAGAAATATGTGCTCATTTCAGAAGATTTACAAAATACAAGACGGCAGAAAAAAATTGAAATCGTCTAGAGTCTCACCATTTGGTGATATTTTGGTACATTTCCTTTTAGTTCTTTATCCATTAATATATACACATATATTTGTAAAGCTAGTTTTATATAGTTCAATTTGTTTCTTTTTATTGGCAGGAAACATATCACATCAAATTTATCATATGAACCATTTCTAAGTGTACAGTTCAGTAGTGTAAGTAATGGTTGTGAAATTGATCTCCAGAACTCTATCCCGTTAAACTTTATTTTACTTGACAATAAATCATAAACATTTTCCCATAATTCCAAATACTCCGTGATACTGAATATGCTTCTCTAATATTATTTTTAATAAGTATATATTTTCATCACCATTATTTTTAAAAACGAAATTCTAATTGTTTCTTTTTAGATTATTATGTTTTTAGATTATTTCTGTTTTTTTTTACTATTATATCCAATATTATGGTTAACACATGTGCACATTTTATACACATATCTCTGCAAACTTATTTTAATATTACCTTATCATAAACTCTCTGATGTGAAATTGCTGATTCAAAGGAGATGTACATTTTTAACATTCTTGATATGAGTTAGAGTTTGAATATGAGAGATGACACCAATTTACATTCCTATCAGCAGAATAAAAAGGCCCTTGCCCCATACTCTTGCCAGAACTGGATCTTATCATCTGGCATCTTTTCCTAGAGACTTTAGTTAGTTCTGAATAAACCTCAGATCAAATGGAAATTGCTCTCAGGAATCACTATGTTACATGCATCTTTCTGGTAAGCTTAATCAGATGTAGACTTGATGCTCACATACCTCAACAAACAAGATTGGGAAGATGCCGATTTTGTCTCCTAACTTCCCTTCTGCCCAGTTCTCATCCACTCGGCTGATCACAGTGATGATATCATCCTGAAAGACAAAAAGTCTCATGGTCAGCGTTCTGTTTTCAGGTGGTGAAAGCTCTCAGTGGACATCAGCTTGGAGCCCCAGATGGCGTGAGGTACAAGGCATGGAGTTCTTTCATGATTTGTTTACAAAATTTTCCTGCTAGATGATCTTTTTCCATAAAGGGCCAGACTTGGATCACCAAGACACAAGAGACATAGAAATAATTTGGAGGATCAGTGGACTCCAATAGGAAAACTTAGAAATGTTTCTAATTTTTAATCACCAGCAGAATCTGGCCTTTTTGTTTAAATTAATCTGATGAGGAAATCAAGATGAAAGCCTTAGGAAGATAGACGATCTTAGCACAAGGAAGAATGAATTTCATTCCGATTTTGAAGACTCTTCAGAACCTATCAGTATTCAATGTATCAAATGTAAAGTGACTTTTAACTCAATTTTTTCTTACTATAAAAGTTTATATGTAGACTTTTTTATTATAAAAGGTTATATGTAGAAACATCTTAAAATACAGATAAGCAAAACAAAGAGAAAAATTCTATCACAATATAGGTATGATCACTGTTAGCACCTTAGTTAACACCTTTTTCCCTCAGATTATTTTCTATGAAGAGAACACATATATACATGTACATATAAACATACTAATTTTAGGCTAGCCTGTGTGGCTCAGTGGTTGAACATCGACCTGTGAATCAGGAGGTCATGGTTTGATTCCCTGTTGAGGCACATGCTCAGGTTACAGGCTTGATCCTCAGTAGGGGCATGCGGGAGGCAGCCGATCAATGATTCTCTCTCATTATTGATGTTTCTATCTCTCTGTCCCTCTTCCTTACTCTCTGAAGTCAATAAAAATATATTTTAAAAAGCATACTAATTCTTAAAATCTGTTCCAAAACATACACAAATTAATATAGTAAAGTACATAAATTTTATATATAAAGCTTGATGAGTTTTTACATTAACTATATCCATGGAACACCATCCAGATCGAGTTATAAACATTGCCAGTATCTAGAAGGTTCCTTTGTACTCTTCCTATCACCTAACAAGAGGTAACCACTCTTCTGACTCCTAGCATGCCTAGTCATTCTGCCTCTTTTTGCACTTCTTACAAATGTAGGACACATTGATTTTTTACTTAATACCATATCAGGGACTTCTTTCCACATCCATACCTGTTCATCAATCTAAACCTAATAGTCACCTGCTGATCTCTTTGACCTTCTGACCCATGCCCCTGGGTAATTTAAATGAAACTAAATCTAAATTAATTTATTGAATTATATCTTTTCTTAACTTTTCTGTCCTTATTACACTTTGCAATTACATATTTAGTGGTTAGTATTTTTTTAATGCTTATCTATCCCATCAGAACATCAACTTTATGTTTGCAGGGCCTGGGTCTGTTTTGTTCATTTCCGTGTCTCCAGCACCTAATACAGTGGCCTCCCTTTAGGAGTCATCCAATAAATATTTCCTTGTTTTGTTTTTTTGCTTATCCTCACCAGAGGATATTTTTTCTATTGATTTTTAGAGAGAGTAGAAGGTGATGGGAGGGAGAGGGAGAGAGAGAAACATTGATGTGAGAGAGAGACATTGATTGGTTGCCTCCTGCATATGCCCTGACCAGGGCAGGAGATCAAACCTGCAACCCAGGCAGGCACATGTCCTTGACCGGAAATTGAACCTGTGACCCTTTGGTGCGTGGCTCAGCAATGCCCTGACCAGGGCAGGAGATCAAACTTGCAACCCAGGCAGGCACATGTCCTTGACTGGAAATTGAACCTGTGACCCTTTGGTGCGTGGCTCAGCACTCTAACCACTGAGAAGCACTGGCTAGAGGGGAAAATATTTCTTGAATGAATGCATGCATGAATAGATGAATGTGTGAATAAATTGTACAATTTCATGAGATGGAAAACACTAGGGAAAGACCATGCTGAGTTCATGTTTAATTTGGATATACTGAGTTCAGAAAGACCATGCGATTTCCTAGTGCAGTTTCAGCCTCCATACCCTTCCAGAATGAATCAAATTTTCTCTTTTGGTTCCTTGTCATAACTTACCATTTATGTGTCTGTTTCTTCCACTAGTCTGCTGGGTCTGTGATGGTAGGAACAGTGACTCATCACTTTGTTCCCAGTGGAGAGGTTGGCACATGGATGGGCCTACTGAATGAATGAGCTGGTAGAGTAAGTGCCCCAGAGAGGGGCAAAAACAAAACCCCCAAACCCAAAACAGGATGCTCCCTGCCTGTGTCTTCCTCCAGCTGCGTCCCCAGAGCACAGTGTCTAACGCCTGGCACAAAGTGAACACCGAGTAAAGGCTTGTGGAATTGAACTGTCCTTCCTCTGACTGCAGTTGAAATATGGCCTGTGCAGTTTGGGCTACAGAATGACCTTCCTTAGGGGACTCACTTGGAGGTGCCAAGACAAGAATGATCAGTATTTCAAAATGTGGAGGGCAGTGAGGTTATCTAGTAGGAGGGAATGTGAAGTAAATCTCGTCTCTGGCAGTGGTGGAATAAAAATGTCCTACAAAGCAGACCTTTCCCGAGCCAGTGGGACAGTACCACTTCTTGTATTTGATTTATCATAAGCAGCAAAGAATAAAAACCACCCCAACTATGGTTTCTATGAGGAAATTTGAATGTTGAAGGAATAAGAAATACTGAACAGAGAATTAAAGGAGTCTAGACTTTAGTACAAGTATGCAGGCAAAACATTTTTAGGGTGATTAATGTCCTTGGAAAGTATATCTTGTAAGAGTTTTTTTTTTTGAATGATAGACACATACTTTTTAAAAAAAATATTTCTATTGATTTCAGAGAGAAAGGGAGAGGGAGGGAGACAGATAGAAACATCATCCATGAGAGAGAATCATGGATCAGCCGCCTCCTGCACGCCTCCTAGTGGGGATCGAGTCTGCGACCCAGGCATGGGCCCTTGACCGGAATCGAAGCCGGGACCCTTCGGTCCACAGGCCGATGCTCTATCCACTGAGCCAAACCGGCCAGGGCTTGTAAGAGGTTTTTTTGTTTGTTTGTTTTTTAAACATTTAAAAAAATATATTCTATTGATTTTTCACAGAGAGGAAGGGAGAGGGATAGAGAGTTAGAAACATCGATGAGAGAGAAACATAGATCAGCTGCCTCCTGCATGCCCCCTACTGGGGATGTGCCCGCAACCAAGGTATATGCCCTTGATCGGAATCAAACCTGGGACCCTTCAGTCTGCAGGCTGACGCTCTATCCACTGAGCCAAACCGGTTAGGGCTTGTAAGAGGTTTTTTTTATGTTTAAAGGTATAATTATGCTATGGTGTGTGTTTGGAGTGTCTTGAATGTAACATTTACAACAAAATGGTTGTAAATGAGAAGAATTAGGTGATGAGAACTTGGTCGATAAGAATAGCCGTACAGATACATGATAAAGAGGTAAGAACTGTAGTTTTGCAAGCACGCTATCAAATTATGTTTGTAATTTTCTGTCCACATGTCTATTCCTCCCACTACTCTGTCTGAGGTCAGGGACTGGGACTTGTTCATGCTGTATCCCCAGCGCCTGCAAAGAATAGGTGCTCACATGCTGGGATTGTGAGCTGGATCCCCAGTAGGGGGCGTGCAGGAGGCAGCCAATCCATGATTCTCTCCTCATTGATGTCTCTATCTCCCTCTCCCTTCCTCTCTCTGAAATCAGTAAAAATATATATTTTTTAAAATTAAAAAAGAAAAAGAAAAAAAGAATAGGTGCTCAAAGTGATTGTAGAATGATGAATGTATAATGCTTATTCTCATAATTTCAATAGAAAAGGCTTAAGGATTTCTATCAAACTGCTATTAATAGATTTCTCTAGTGACTTCATGTCTATGTAGTTTGAATTATACACACACATTGCATATGCAAGCACATATGTGTGTATGCATACATATATACATAGATATATACACCTAATATAATTTAAAAATATAAACAAATATTAAGCAAACAACTCCAGGTTCTGCACAGTCTCTGCATGGTCACTAGTGACATTGGTGGCTGCCCAGAATCTTACCTTGAGGAAGGTCAGGCAGTCCTGGTTGTCATTCTTGTCCTTATTTCGTAGGTCGAAGTTGTAGAGGGCCCGGCAAAGTGGGGGTGGCTGGGGCAGCTGCTTGATGACCTCCACAGAGCTGGCCGGGAAGAACCCACTGACTCCATTGATCTCCCCCTGGTACCAGTTCTCGTCCAGCTGTCTCCGAAGGAGAATGACATCGCCCTTATTAAACCTCAGGTCACCGGGATTCTGCCCTCGGTAGTTGCATAAGGCCTTTGCTCGAGGCACCTGCCAATAAAACATGTACTTGGCTTAGAGGCTGGAGGAACAGAATGAATCATATTAATAATTAACTACTGAACCCTCCCAATGTGCTACGTGCTAAATGCGGATCATCTTGTGGATCTGTAGACACTGAATGCAATGTTTACCACAAAGTATGTTGTTATGAGTGAGTAGAATTAGGTGGTGAATTGTATGTAGAATTATATAGTAGAATTAGATGACCTGTGGACCGTATCTTTGAGATGGACACTCTAATTATGCCCATTTCTAAGTAGGGTGACTGAGGCACAGAGTGGCTGAATAACTTGCCTGGGGTGACACAGTTGGGAAATGGCAGATATGGGATCTGAACTCAGGCCACCTGAGTTTAGAGCTCCTGTTCTTAACCACTATGCAGGGACAGGGTTCCGGATTTAACTCCACAACTACATGCACTTGAGTGAGTCAGCGACTCCGGGGCCTGGACGAGGACTGTGAATTCTGGCTCCACCTCTTTTCCCTTGTGTGACCATGCTCAAGCTATTTACTCTTTTCTTAAACCACCTTCATTTATAAAATGAGATAATAGTAGAACACCCACCTTATAGGGAGTTGTGAGGAATCAGTAATATTCATAATAGTTTTAGCTTATGGCTTGGTCCATAGTATGTGCTCAATAAATGATCTCCCTTATTATCATCACCTATAATGGAGGGCTGATGATATCAGTTCTACATATTCCTCAGTATCGATGGGAAGAAAACTGGGCTGAAAACTCCCGAAGATAGAAAGTGTTACATGAGGGAGATGCAGCGGAACTTGTCTTCAGCCTTCTCTAGAAACTGTAAACCCCTAGTGTTTGCCTCTCTAGGAAGTGCAACTGACACATCATTAGTCAGAAATCAATCATCAATATTTAAAATTTACCTAAAGAATCATCATTTGTTAAATCTGTTGTCTGTCTAAATCATTATTTCAGTCGAATGCCTTTCTTTTTTTTCCTAATCGAAACGGTTTCTCCACACAGAAAGGACCTCACTCTGCTCTCCCGGAAGCCAGTTTGACAAACTGAAAGTTCGAACAACTTAGGTTTAATGGCAGGCCCGCCAGTGTCACCTGGGATTGTGCTTCACGTTGTGCTTTCTCAGCACTGGGGTGGAACAGTCCCCTCTCCTGGGGGCAGCCTTGCTTTTGTAAGGGGGTGGAAGAAAACATTCATTCTGTTCTTCAAGGACCTTCTGAGGCTGTGGTGTTCATTTGAAAAGGAATTGCAAGCAGTTTAGGGGTAGAGCCAGGACCGGAGCAGCAGCGTCTTGCTGATGGATGGCAGAGAATGCTTTCCTGCTGGTCCCTGGGTACAGTAAGAGGAACCCAAAGGGGTAGGAAACCACAAGAACACAGCTCATCCTCAGCAAAGATGTGCGTACTAGGAGGTTTACAGGGCCGTGGATAAATGGAATTGACTGAATAAATTATGATGCACCCATACAATGGAATACCCTACAGTTATTAAAATTGATGATGATGTTGATCTATAATTAATAGCATTGAGTTACTCAGAATATACTGTTAAGTATAATAGAAGAGGTTAAAACAGTTGTGTAGACTAAACTTTCATTATAAATACATATATATCTTTTTTTACCCAGGGAAAATACTAAATGCTAGATGGCTATCCACCAACATTTTAAGAGGGGTTATTTCTAAGTGGTGAGATTTTTGAATACTAAAAAAAATTATTTCCCTAAGTGCTTAGCTGTGTTTTCTAACTTTTCTACAATAAATTGATTGTATTCCCTATTATAATTGGATAGTAAAAATAAAATAAATAAAACTGAGGAATGAGAAGTGAAAGACATGGGAAAGGAATTTGGGAAGGAAATAAGCCAAGCTGAGTAGGATTGGCAAACTACGCAACCAACTTTTTGGACACATTCTTACCTGAAAAATAAGCAGGTAGATAGATGCTGGATGAGAGCAAAAGATGGGGAGGGGGGGGGCGGTGATCTAAACGGGCTACACTCCCAGGGTTGGCTGTATCAGGGACAAACGTATCCCTCCATATTCCTTCTTTCCAATTTTTTATTGAAATAAATCACTTTTTTTTCCTGGTTACATGACCACCTAGAACAGTAGTTACATTTTCCAGCCTCCCTGACAGCTATGTTCTGGCCAAAGGGGTCTAAGTAACTTTTAGGAAGTGTTTTTACTGAATGAGACCAATTTTCTCTTTTCTTTCCTCCATTTCGCTATGTGGAATGGAGATGTGATGGCTGGGGCTCTAGCTGCCATCCCGAACAGTGAGGAGGAAGGTCACACCTACAGAGGAAAGGAAGTAGTCTGGGTTGTAGAGTCACTACTAAAGTCCTGAACTCAAATTGCACTAAACGCTTAAACCTCTTTGAAGATGCATTGACTCTGCAACCCTGAGATAGCGCCAGTGGTTTTGTTGACCATAAATGACCCTAGGACACTGGTGGACTGTCCAGTGGGAGTTGGAGAGAACACATAACATTACAACGCGTGTTGTCAAACACACTTAATCTCCAGTTTTCTGACACCAAGTGCCAACTGTGGTACTTTCTTCCCTTAGGATGTTAATTCATAATTGTTTCTTTTTTGTTGATGTGTGATACCTTTTCCATTGATTTAAACGTATGCATTACTTTTACTCCACATGGCCAGCAGTACTCATATATTCCCAAGCCACTGGACCACTTGCGTGCATAAATGCCACTGTTTAATGAAGTACGTATATTCAGGCCTGTAAAACGTCACAGTATGAACTTGGGGTACTTCTGCAAATGATTCTGACTTCTGGGTATTTACATGGGCCATGTTGATATCCAAAAGAAAAATGCTTTTTTATTTATAGATTATTTCATTGAACTTTGTAAAATGGTTATCATTAGTGTATTTACTCTGCCCTCCCAAACTCGTCATCTTTTCTCTACCTCCCCTCAGTATAGGTAGGTATCCTGAAAGTGAATCGTAAATTCTATTTTTAACACAAAGACTCTTTTCATCTTCTTTCTCTTCATTCTGGACAACCCCTCCCCTTGTATTCTCAGTTCTACATTCATACCCATAGGACACGTTGCTTCCACGCTGTAAAGGAGGAGGAAGGGATGGGGAGGGAGAGAATCTGAAAAGGGGAAGGGCATGAACAATTATTGCTGTTCTGGCGAGCCACAGAAAAATTTCTGGCATTTGCCCAATTGCACTTTCCATGTATTATCTCAATCATATGATCTCAAAACCCAGTGAAGTAGATGGTACACCCCATTTTACTGAAGCAGCAGAAGTTGTGGGGTGTTTGATGTTATACCGAGAGGTCACACAGCTTGTGTATGGCAGCCCCGAGACTGACTTAGGCTCATTTGACCTCAGAGCAGCCTGGCTCTTCATCCAGCTGAAATCACCTAAGTGTGTATTTCCATCATAAAACTCATTGGGGGGCTCTGTTTTGTAATCAAAATCGGAACAGAGTGTGAATGTAATTTGCTTGCTGCTGGCTGCATTAGCATGAATTATTGAGCTCCAGAGCCCTCACATAAAAGTTAAGCACCTGAAGAGACTCAGCTGGTTGATTCTATCCGGTCCTCAGCTGTTCTCTCAAGGGAAAATGACTCCAAGTGCCACATCAGCAATCACCGTTGTCTTGTTGGTAACAGCGTTCATCACCCATAAGTGTTTTCCCAAGTGCAGGCAGGAGGGGGAAGGGGGAAGTAGGAGTGGAGGTCTCACATCCAGGTTATTATCACACTCTCTCTCTTGGTGTTTTCCGGAAAGTCAGATAATCCAATGGAAGCCTTTGTGTACGTAAGAAGCTTTCCTTTTCTGGGATTCAAAAGACTCAAGATTACTATGCTCCTGTAATGTTCTATTGCTGTGTCACCTCAGTAGGGTCTGAAAGCCACAAGGGCCATGCTTCTTGGAGGAACAATGCATAGAAACAAGGAAGCAGGGCATGTGGAGGTACTCATAGTAGAATTATGTCGGAGTAATTATGAATGTTAGTAGTAAAATTATGGCAAGCATCCCTTCTTTGCTCTTCTGATGGGCATGTCATTCACTCTGGTCGCACCACACACACAGAGTTATGCGGTCCAGGCAGGCCAGTTAGAGTATCCCAATCCCCCTGGCACAGTGGTTGGTACAGGTCAGGCATGTGCCCCAAAGACAGCCAATTAGAATCTTCCCTGAAGTTTGATATATAGATGCCAAGAAGTGAGTCTTACTTTTGGATCATGAGCCTTGAGTGATGAGCTGTGGACTACCATTGGTGATATTTCCCAACCAGTAGACACACCTTCCTGATTACAGCTGCAGAAGGCAGCAGAACCAGAGCTATAGTGAGATAGATAGGTAAATAGATAGGTAACTGGATAGATGGAGCCTTGACAATAACATTTGAATACCTAGATCCAGTTGTCCTTGAAGGATACTCAGTTAAATGAGACCATATCCCCAATGTGGTGTTTATTACTTAAACTACTTGGAGTTATTTTCTGACACTTGAAACTGAACAAGTCCTGACTAACACATATTAAAAACCCAGAAACAACAAAACTGGGTAACAATGGAGTATTCAAATTCAAATAGCAGACTTCAGAACAGCAGGAGGTCTAGCTGGCAAGAGCCCTGAGTTTATTTCCCATTTGAAAATAATGAAGGAGGCATGTGGTTGATAACAGGGTGAGAGGAAAGGAGCCCAAGTAGAGCAGAACCACCCCAGTGAGGCACACAAGGGGAAAAGTGAGCTGGGGGGTGAGAACACAGCCTGCTATGTGCCCAGCTCTTCACCATGCTCTAGTGACACTTCCCACTCATTTAGAAAGGAGTTGGCCCAGTTCTCTCTAGTCCTGGCACCAGGTGAGGCCAAAATCAACATGCTGAGCTAACTGCTTGCTTCCCTGAGCCGGTCATGAGATCACCCATCACTGCAGAATGGAGCCAAGGAAAAACATCCTGGCCTTTGGCTCAAGCTATCATTCACCAGGCTATGAATTTTCTGTTGGAGA